ATTAGAAACAAATTGTCAAGTCTTATCTCCTGCTGTACCTCTAGGTGGGTTTACACGCCAACCTTTCAGTAAGTACTTAACCCTTTGTGACATCCAGAGACACCCCCCCAAAAAAACAAAAAAAACTCATATAACAGTTTTACTCTGCAACACATCGGGTCGTTATGACTCAGTGGGTTTGGTTTTGGGTTTTGAGGAATGGGAAGCTGATGAAACACTGGTCTTGGAGACCAAAGGTGCACATAGCATTTTCCCTGTTGTTTATTTTAACATTGACTGTGATTTACTAGCTGCAGTTTTTGTTGTTGATAGGTGCCATTTGTTTTGGTTTTTTAAAAAAGTACTATATGAAAACTGAATGAGAGTTTGTTTCTAAGTTTAATTCAGTAACCTGTGAACTGTATGCTTCAACTGCAGAAATTGTTGCAAGATCGGAAGTAACTAAAGTGACGCTAATAACTGAAACACAGGTAATCAGAGGTTATCAAAGACTTGGACAATGTGAGTCATAATCAAAGACAATCTGGGTAAATATTGTCCATTTCCTGTCAGCTGCTGCTAAAACTTGCAGATATCTAACTGAAGAGGAGCCCTGTGGGGCTTTTCACTTACCACTCATGTGAACAAACTGCTGTCTTGAGTCCCCTCATAGAACATGAGGCCTGGATTTCAAAATCAGTTTTCCTGTATCATCACAAGACATATGATACTTTGTTAATGCTGTTTGACGTTGAACTGCTCTAATTGATGGCGCTACTACTCTCTTGTGTATCCAGCAAAGAACAAACCTATTAGAGTAAAACAGTGAATCATGAAAAATGAATGCTCTGTAATGCTGTAAGAGAACCTTTTTTTGTGTGCCTCAGGATCTATTAGCCCATTCCAGGCCCCAGTATAGACAGATACCACCATGAGAAGAATTCTCCAGACTAGAAGGTCATTCAGAAACAGCAGTGACAGCAGGAACCAGGATAATCTTGGGGAGGGATGAGATTTAAGGATGTTAAACTAAATCAGCTAAATGTGGTAAGTGATTGGATGTGTGATGAAAGGGAAACAATGGGGAAGGGTCTCCCAGATTTCTGGATTGGGCTTAAGCTGTGTAAAGAAGTTGCTTTGATACACACAAAGATAGAGGATTGCCTGATCTGTGGGCACTGAGGCCTGCATAGACACAGAAGTGCAGGGGGATGTACCTTGTTTCCTTTTTTGCCTTGGCTGCAGGGAAGCTCCTGACAACATTTTGCCATTAATCGTATAGTAACAGTGTCAGTCCTCATGGTTGTCGTATTTCATTCTAACTTTTTCATCAATTCTCATTTCCTTCTTCAATTCTGAGTCTATTCTGTGTGTTATTTAAGTTCCTCCTTTTGTTTGTGGAAAGAGACAGGGCATAATAAGTATGTGCCCCGTGATCAAAAAATGAGTAGCAAATATGTATCAGTTGGCATGTCTGAGGGTGCAACTCAATGTGGCTGCAACCCCATGTATTTTAAGAATCCTGTCAAAATCTGAGACAGGATGAGAAGCTCTGGTAGCATAGTGGTTACGAATTGGGCTGCAAACCACTAAGTCAGCAGTTCGAAACTACCAGCTGTTCCACGGGAGAAAGATGAGGCTTTCTGCTCCCATAAAGATTTACAGCCTCGGAAACCCTGTACAGGGTCGCTATGAGTCGGAACTGTCTCCAGAGTACTTAACAACAACAACAACAACAACAACAACAACTAAGGGTCTATATCCTATGGGACCAGCCACCCCTACTCCTTGCTCTCAGGGAGCCTAGTGAGGAAGGCACCCAGAGAGTGACAAGAACAGGCACTTACCACTTAGGTTTTCATGCAAGTCTCAGTCCTGCCACTGACCAGCTGTGTGATCTTGAGCAAGTCACTTCACCTCTCTGAGCCAACGTTTCCTCATCTGTCATGCACAAGGGTCGCCCTGAGTCTGAGCCAACTGGAAGGTAACTGTTTGCATTTCTAACAAGATCCCAGGCTGGTGTGTGGATGACACTATGAGAACCCATGTCCAAGGGAGTGGGAAAATTTATTTCAGATGGGATAAAAGATGGATGCTCTAACTGGTCGTAGCAGCAGTGGGCAAAGGGCTCTGGATCTCCAGGAATCCTCCAGACTAAGGGGGCCCGGGTGGTTCTTCCATCAGTGATGGATCCAGAGAGCTTCACTTCACACAGGTTCCTAGGATATTGTTGTTTTTATTGCTATTGTTATTAAGGAGAGGACTGGTGGCATCATAGGATAAGTACTGGACTGCTAACCACAAGGTCGGCAGTTCAAACTCACCAGCCACTCCTCAAGAGAAAGATGAGGCTTTCTGCTCCCATTAAAAAAAAAAAAATTTTTTTTTACAGCCTCAGAAACCCTATAAGGATTGCTATGAGTGTGAACCAACTCTGTGATACCTAGCAACAACTATTATTACTAAGGGAGGCAGGTACCAGCCAGGGAGCTACAACCAGATGCTCTGGGCTGTTAACGTTTTTGGCGGGAGCAAACATTCTGAAGTCGGGCTGGGTGCTGGGCCCACTGCATCAGTTCTCATAGTGGACCCACTGGACCAATCCTCATGGTTCTTGAGGTCGAGTTTCTCAGCTTCTCTCAGGCTCAGGAATCTGTTTTCTTCCACCTCCTGAGCTTCCTTACAAATTAAACATTCTTTAAACGTGAAATGGCGAGACTTTTGCTTACATACTTTGGGCATGTCATTAGGAAAAAAACAGTCACTAAAGAATATCATCATGTTCAGTAAAGCAGAGGGTCAGTGAAAATGAGAAATTCTCTGGTAGCATAGTGGTTACGAATTGGCTTGCAAACCTTAAGGTCAGCAGTTCAAAACTACCAGCTGTTCCGCAGGAAAAAGATGAGGCTTTCTGCTCCCGTAAAGATTTAACAGCCTCGGAAACCCAGTACAGAGTCACTATGAGTCAGAACCAACTCCACGGCACATAACCACTACCACCACCCCATGTTGTTGTTGTTGTGAAGTGCTGTCGAGTCGGTTCCGACACATAGAGACCCTGTGTAGTGCTTCGGAGGAGCATCTGGTGAGTTTGAACCGCCAACCTTGCAGTTCAAACGGCTTTGCAGTCTGGCGCATTAGCCCACAGCACCACACCAGGACTCCATCCACCACCTCCATGGAAGGGACTAAATACAATAGCCAAAGCTATGAGCTCATCATCTCAACTATCAGGGAAATGGAGTAGGGCTGGCAACATTTTGTGGTTTTACATGAAGTCACCTTCAGTCAGCGCTGGCTCCAGTGCCATTGATTGTTGTCAGAATTTGGGGTGATCCAGCTTCTGTCTGCTTCCAGGGAAGCCTTAGGTTTGGGGGTTTTTTAATTGCATAATGGGAATCCCTAGGTGATGCAAACCCTTAACGCATTTGGCTGCAGACCAAAAGGTTGGATGTTCGAATCCACCCAGAGGTACCTTGGAAGAAAGTTCTAGCAATCTCCTTCTGAAAAATCAGTCATTGAAAACCCTGTGGAGAGAGTGTAGTTCTACTCTGACACACTTGGGAGCGTCATGACTCAGAGTTGCCCTGGTTACTAGTTAATGCCTAGCAAGTGTTCAATCAGTGAGAACAACCTTATTATCTTCCTCACTCTCTGGAGAAGTCATCCAAGGCCCCACAATCTCCCACAACGTCTCCAGATAGGATATACACAGACAGTCCCCTCCACTTCTCAGTCCTCTCTTGTTTGTCTTCCTATCTACCTCTCTGCCATGCTGTCTCTTCTGAGACACAGACTCTCATTGTCGCTGGAATCTTGGTGTCTTAGCAGTGTTTAACTTTGATTCATCTTCCCTCTGAGTAAGCACTAGGTTATGCCTACTTTGACTGCATATAAATTGGCCTAGAAGAAGAAGCAAACCTTCGTTTTAGAGAGAGCAACCATTTTTTTCCACATCAGCAAGATGCCAGCTATGAGTTCCCAGCCTAAGTGATTAGCAGCCACAGATCAACATCTTAGCAAACAACCCTGGTTTTCAGCTTCCCAAAGGCCCAGGGCTGTGGGACCTTAGGCAAATTACTTAACCTCTCTGAGGCCCATTCTCCACCTATTAATTGGAACCACACCCCAGGATGTCATGAAGATTGTTGTTGTTAATTACCATTGACTTGCCTCCTCATGGCAGCCCCTTGTACAGGACACTAGTCCTGCACCATCTTTATGATCTTTAGTCTGATGGAATCTATTTTTACAGCCATTGTCTATTTTAAGTACCCTCCAAATCGGGGGTTCATCTTCCAGCACTGTATCGGATAGTATTCTCTTGTGTTCAGGGGAGTTTTCATTGGCTAATTTTATGATGTAGATCACCAGCTCTTTCATCCTAGTCTGTCTAAATCTGGAAGCTCTGAGTGAAATACCAGTGACAGCTTCCAGCTTCGATAGCAATATGAAACACCACAGTATACCAGACCAACAGACACGAATGAGACAATAGAGGACATAGATCCTCTATCTGTGCACAGGGAGGGGACACACAACAAAGAATCAGGAGATGGTAGCTTCTTATGCTGCGTATTGGGGGAAGGACAGTGTCTCAGTCTCAAAGAACAGCCTGTATTTTGAGTTGTAATTTCCACCTGATCATGGACACCTTTGTAGAAACTGCTTGGGAAGAAAGTCCAGGATAGAGGCAAAGCTTGCTTCATCCTCTGTCCCTGCTGCAGCTGGTGCCTGAGGGGGCAGGGATATGGGGAAGTAAAGAGGGAGACTAACTTCAGGTGATTTCTCTGCAGTCACATTTATCTTGGTGATAAAATGGGCCCTGGGTTTGGAAACTAGAAGAGTTACTCTCATCTATAAAGACAGCACCTACCTCTGCCGGCCTCGGTGACTAGGAGATTAATTTCCCAGCCAGCTAGGCAGGCAGGCAGGCACCTGCGTAAACTGCTTCCATCTGCAGGCATGTGTGAGACCATCTCGTGCCACGTTGGGAATGAGCCTGGAGGGAGGGGTGTCTCATGGGGCTGGCCCCACTGCAGCAGACTCCGCAACGCACATACCTCCAACCCCAGTCTGGCATTCTGGGCACGTACAGCCCTGCCCCTAGCCAGCTCTCTGGTGGCATGCTTGCTTTGGATCTGAAGGTGTGCCCCAAGTCACTGCAGCAACGGGGGACTGAACAGGCCCACTGGGGACAAGATTCTCGGACCATTGCACAGTAATGTGGACCCACACACTCCTAACCTCCCCAAGGAGAACTGGTATCTCTGATACTCCCAAGTCCTGTGCTTGGCTTTGTAGGTGACAGACTTCATATTAGGGAGGAAGAGGGAAGTTATGGCTGGATGACAGCAGATCTGCATGTTATTAGAATAGGGTAGTGTTGGGGACCGCAAGCACTGAGATGCTGAGGCCCTGCGTCATGGACGAAAATCCAACACGAAGGCCCCACTCAGGATTGCTAGCCAGGGACTCTGAGGGCTAAAGGAAGTGATCTCCTGACATCCCGGGTTCATTGGTTTTTACGAACTCACTGGTGGGCTACCTCTGTATAATTTTCTTTGGTCTTATTATTCATTCTATGCTTCTAACTCCAGTAATTGTAGCTTCTGAGAAAATGGTTTCTTATGTGCCTCTCTTAATGTCTCCACTGTGTTGGCAGTGCGTAGGGTCCTGGGAACAAATCTCTCTGAGGAACAAGCTCTGGCCACCTGGCAAGCATGTCCAAACTGTTCTTTATCAAATTGTTCAGTTATGTTTGATATTAACTTAATACATGAGCTCTTGATATCCATGCACCATATTAAAACCAAAACCCTTTCTAAAGCCGAGGCCGTAAAAGTTCCAAAGACAGGTTTGCTGGGAATTACGCAAGGAGGCTTTGCCCAGGGTATTCACTCAAAGTAGATTGGTAAATTCCGGGAGTATTGTTTAAGGAATAATAGTGGCAGCCCCTCAAACTGTCCCCAGGTGTAACCCATTAACTTGGATGCCCTCCTTCCTCCTGAAAGCTTAAGCCAGGTAGCTGAAACAGCTTGACCTCCCTTCAGACCTTTTAAATCCTTTTCACCTTTACGGATTAGAGATTAAGCGCTGTAGGTATGTTAATTAGCCTTGAGAAACCTCAAGTCGCTGCCTTAGGATTTAAGCCTAAAAAGGATTTTATAACAATTTGCTTGAATTTTTGGAAAATTAAGAATGTTAGATTAGTAAGACAATTTGCGATGTATATTTTAGAATTTGTTCCTGTAAATCATTGTGTCCTGTTTTGAACGATTAATCACATTTCATTTCTGTACCCCGTCTTAATGATCACCTTCTTCCTTTGTGTAAAATCCCTCCCTGAAATAAAAGACGGATGCAGATTGAATCCTGCATGCATTACTGCCTGCAGTGCAATGCTGCCTGCCATGCAGGGTCTGCCTGCCAGTTTTGCATCCACTCTGGTCTCGGGTGTCTCTTTTTTCTCGCTCATTGCGTCTTTGTGTATATTCTTTTTCTATTTCTTTCGCCACCAGATCTCCCTACTTCATGAACCAAATGTCCCTGTCGAGGCAGATCCCCAACAGGGTAGCAGAGGTGGCTACCTGCTCATTGGCTATTGGTCTCAGTAGATGAGTGATGGCCAACAGTTCCATCTCAAAGCAAGCTCTAGACAGTTATAATTGCTGTATGCAGTGCTGTGTTGAAAAGGAGGCTGAAGCTGCTTCCTGGGCCAACCAGGAAACAGAATCATGATTGATTAATAATGTCTGTCACTGACATAGACTTGAAAAATGAAGGCAGGCATGCTATATATTGACCAGGTAAGGACTAGATCTCTCAAAAATTAAGGATAAAGCATTAAACTGATCACTCTTACCTGACAGGAAAAGATGTAAAGAATCACCTTTCATCTGTGAGTCTTGAAGAAAAATTAAAAGCTTTAGCTTTGTTGTTAAGTGCCGTCAAGTCAGTTCCAACCCATAACAACCCTGTACAGGGTTTCCGAGGAGTAACTGGTGAGCTTGTGCCGCCAACCTTGCAGTTCAAACCAACTTTGCAGCCCAGCATGTAAACCCACAGCACCAAGCTAAATATAAAAAAATGTATTTATTAAATATATAATAAATTTATATAAAAATATGAAAATGAGAAGCTGACATTTCATCCAAATCTCAGAGAATTACATCCAGTCAGAAAGAAGAAACTGAATTCTAAGCCTTTTGGGGGAACAGAGATCCAGCTAAGTCCTACACAGTTCACTCAGTCATTCAATAAATATATATTGAGCATCTACTGCAGGCTAGGTACTGGGCTAGATCTGCAGAGTCAAATAGTGAATAAGTCAGGACAGACAGGAAATCTGTCCTCAAGGAACGAACAATCTTGTTCAATGCATCAAGTCGGTTCTGATTTACAGCGACTCTGTTTAGGGTTTCCAAGGAGTGGCTGGTGGGTTTGAACCGCCAACCTTGTGATTAGCAGTCCAGTGCTTATCCTGTAGCGCCATAGGATATATATATATATATATATACCAACATTGCAGTCCAGTGCATTAACCCACAGCACCACACCAGGACTCCAGTACTTATTCTACAGTAAGAGGTTGTTGTTGTTGTTAGGTGCCGTTGAGTCGGCTCTGACTCATAAAAACCCTATGCACAACAGAACAAAACACTGCTTGGCCCTGCGTCCTACTCATGTTTGTTGTTACACTTGAGCCAAGCAAATGGAAGTCTTTGACAACTTCATTGTTTGTTTCATTATCATGATGTTATTCACTGGTACAGCGATGAGGATACTTGTTTTTTTTTTTTTTTTACATTGAGATGCAATCCATACTGAAGACTGTCATCTTTGATCATCCTCATCAGGAAGCTTCCAGCAAGCTATGTTGTCTCATTTGCATATTGCAGGTTATTAATGAGTCTTCCTCCTGATGCCACTCTCATCTTCATATAATCCAGCTTCTCAGATTATTTGCTTAGATTGAATAAATGTGGTAACATTTATTCCTGATTTTAAACCATTCAGTATCCCCTTGTTCTGTTAGAACGACTACCTCTTGGCTATGTCCAGGTTCCTCAGGAGCACAATCAGTTGTTCTGGAATACCCATTCTTTGCAATGTTATCAATAGTATGTCATGATCCACACAATCAGCCGCCTTTGCATAGTAAATAAAGCACAAGTAAACATCTTTCTGGTGTTGTCTGCTTTCAGCCAAAATCCATCTGACGTCAGCAGTGATACCCTTAGTTCCACATTCTCTTCTGAATCCAGCTTTCATTTCTGGCTAGTTCTCTGTCAAAGTACTATTGCAGCCATTTTTTAATATCTTCAGCAAATTTTTACTTGCATATGATGTTATTGTTCAATGATTTTCACATTCTTTTGGGTCACCTCTTTTTGGAATGAGCACAAATATGGATGTTTTCCAATCAACTGGCCAGGTAGCTTTCTTCCAAATTTCTTGGCATAGATGAGTGTGTGCCTCCAGTGCGGCATCAGTTTATTGAAAGATTTCAATTTGTATTCAGTTGGTTCCTGGTGTCTTGTTTTTTGCCTTCGGTGTACCTTGGACTTCTTCCTTCAGTATCACTGGCTCTCGATCATATGCTATCTCTTGAGATGGTTGAACATCGACCATTTATTTTTGGTGCAGTGGCTCTGTGTACACTTTCATCGTCTTTGATGCTTCCTGCATCATTCAAAATTTTGCCCATAGAATCCTATGATATTGCAAATCGAGGCTTGAGTTTTTAATTCAGTTCTTTTATTTTGAGAAATGTTGAGCATGTTCTGCCCTTTTGGTTTTATAATTCCTGGTCTTTGCACATTTCACTATAATATTTTACTTCTTAAGTTGAAGGAGCTCTGGTAGCATAGTGGTTACGAATCGGGCTGTGAACCTTAAGGTCAGCAGTTCTAAACTACCAGCCGCTCCACGGGAGAAAGATGAGGCTTTCTGCTCCTGTAAAGATTGACAGCTTTGGAAACCCTGTACAAGGTCACTATGAGTCGGAACTGACTCTGTGGCACATAACCACCACCTTAAGTTGCCCTTTGAAATTTTCTGTTCAGCTCTATGACTTCCTCATTTCTTCTATTTGCTTTAGCATCTGTATGCTACAGAGCAAGTTTCAGATTCTCTTCTGACATCCATTTTAGTCTTTTCTCTCTTTCCTGTCTTTCTGATGACCTTTTGCCTTCTTGTATGGTGCTCTTGCTGTTATCCCGCAGCTTTTCTGGTCTTCAGTCCTTGTTGTGTGTCATCGAGTTGATGCCAACTCAGAGACCCTGCATAGGGTTTCTGCGGAGCTGCTGGTGGATTTGAACTTCCAACCTTGCAATTCAAACTGACCTTATGGTCCAGTGCTTATCCTACAGTGCCATACCACTAGTGTCTAATATATCAAATCTGTTCTTGAGATGGTCTCTAAATTCTGGTGGGATATGTTCAAGGTCATTATTTTGGCTCTCATGGGCTTGCTTTTTCTCCAACTTCAGCCTGAATTTGCATATGAGCAATTGCTCCACAGTCAAGCCTGGTCTTGTTCTGGCTGATGATAGGGAACTTTTCCACTGTCTCTTTCCACAGATGTAGTCAGTTTGGTTTCTGTATATTCCAGCTGGTGAAGTTCATGTTATAATTGTCTTTTATGTTGTTTAAAAAAAGTATTTGCAAAAAAGTCATTTGGAAAAAGTCATTGGTCTGGCAAAAATTCTATCATGTGATTTCCAGCATCATTTCTGTCACCAAGGTCATATTTTCCAACTATTGCTCCTTCCTGTTTGCTTTCAACCTTCACATTCCAGTAACCAGTAATTATCAATACATCTTGATTGCAGATTTGATCGATTTCCAACTGAGAAGTTGGCAGAATGCTTCCATTTTATCATCACTGGCTTTAGTGGTTGGTACCTACATTTGTAGACTGTGGTATTAACTGGTCTTCCTTTATGCTGCTGTTGTGGTGCTATCAAGTAGGTTCAACTCATAGCATCCCTGTTTATAGGGTTTCTGAGGCACAATTGGTGGGTTTGAATCACCGACCTTGTGACTCAAAGTGACCTTGCAGTCCAGCGTGTTACAGCTGCAGCACCACACCCAGACTTCTTATTGCTGTTGTCGTTAAATGCCTTCCTGTCAGTTTCGACTCATAGCGACCCTGTATAGGGTTTCCAAGGAGTGGCTAGTGAGGTTCAAACTGACCTTGGGATCCAGTGATTTTGGTAGTCTGTGGTCCTATTAATACTCAAATGCATAATTTGAACCATAATGCAAATGCTTCAATTCTTCTCCTGGTCTTCCTTATTCATTGTCCCACTTTCATATGCATATGTTGTTGATGTTAAGTGCTGTCGAGTTGGTTCCGACCCATAGCGACCCTGTACAGGGTTTCCAAGGCTGTAAATCTGTAGAAGAGCATAAAGTCTCATCTTTCTTCTGTGGAGTGGCTGGTAGTTTCGAACTGCTGACCTTAAGGTTCACAGCCCAATTCATAACCACAACGCTACCAGAAACCATTGAAATTCATGATGACTGACTCTCAGGACAGAAGGAGTTGAGGCCGAAGGTGTGTGGTAGAGCTCAGTGTCCTTTCTCTCTGTCCACAGTAGCTCGGTACAACCGCACCAACTACTTCTACTCCACATTCTCGGAGAACTTGGAGCACAGCCATCTGCTCGTGTCCCCTGTGCTGGTAGCAAGTGCAGTCATCGGGGTGGTGGTCACTCTCTCCTGCATCACCATCGTCATCGGCAGCCTCCGAAGGGACAGGCAGGCCCGGGTCCAGCAGCACCGCCATCGCCACCGGCGACACCACCACCATCACCACCACCACCGGTGGCATCCACACCGAGAGTTGGAGCACAGTTTCGGTGAGCTGCAGCCTGGAAGTGGGGCCTCCCCTCACCAGGGCCTGGATGCTAGTTTTCCCCTGTCCCAGGGCCTACCAAGGGGCAGTGACTTGAATTTGGACTAAACCATGAACCAGGGTGTTGCTTGATTTGGGTAAAGAGAGGATACGGAGATTTCATTGTCCATGAAGCAGGACGTGGGGCTCCTGGAACCCTGGACCCTTGGAGTCTGGATTGGGGTAGAAATCAGGAGAGGAGAAAGGAAAGAAATGAATTCAATTTCAAAAGGGTAAGGAGGAATCATTCCTGCTGTTCTTCGGAAGCTCTGCCTAGCTGTTACGATATTGACCTTGGTCATCTTGGGACTGAGGACCGAGTTAGGTACAAGGCACCTCAGTTCCCCCAAATACTTGACCTCTGAAAGTCCAAAGAAAGTATTCCACAGAGAGAGAGTGGACAGTTCAGTTCAATCCTGTCAGCTCTCAGACCCAGAAAACAGCCTTCGTTTACCCAGGGGTGCCCGTAGGACTCTGATCCTAAGACCAGAGTCATCCCTGGTAACACTGGCAGGGACGGGACCCTGACACCTGCGCCCAGAGGTCCCGGCTCAGTTTTTGGCCTGGCCCTGTTTTTTGTGCCTTCATCTTTCCGGAGTCTCTCTATGACGGTCTTTCAAAAATTCTCATCATTCAGCTGGTGCCCTGGAGGAAAGGAGATCTCTCATTTCACCTCCGTTTTATAGCATCTGCTATTGGATTCCTGCTGCCAGGTAGAAAAGTTATATGTGTTAATTGTGAGGAAACCTGAAAAATACAGAAAATGTCAGGAAGGAAGGAAGGATCATGACCCTGTCATCCAGGCAGAGCCACTGTTAATGGGTTTGGAATATTTTTCTGGTGCTTTCTCTACATTCATTGATAAGCCCGGGAGAAGACCTGCAGGGATGGTTTTAGATCCAGCCTTTTCCACTCCTGGTAATATTATGAGTGGAAAGGGGTGTAGGGAACTATGGGTTATAGTGTGTTTGAGGTTATGCAGACTGTGCCTGACTTCTAACTCCACACTGCTCTAGATTCGAGGCTCTGAGCCTCAGCTTTGTGTCTGTAGAATGGAGGGGGCAGCCGTGGTACTGACTTCAAACAGAGACCGTGAACTCGCCCTGATGTTGAGCCCTGCCTCCTGAGGGGAGGACCCCTTCCCCACCCCCAGGCTCTTTTGTGGATGGGGAGACCCTTCTGTACCAGCTATCTTTGTCCTCCAGCCACAACCAAACAGGAATAGGGAGGTAGAGACAGGATATCCAGTTACCCTCAGGCCCTCCCTCCCACTAACTTGCTGTGTAGCTTCTGCAAAGTTACTGGGCGTCTCTGAACTATGGATCATGCTCCCTCAGCTGATCCTACCAGGGTTAAGTAAAACTGAGGTCACATGCTGAACCAACATAGTTAAGGTGCTTCTTAGCTGCAGGACTTTCCAGAGCCTTTGATGTGCTGTTGTTGTGAAGAGCTGTTAGAACCAACTTATATACAGTGCTAGGGTCTCCCAGGAGCGGCTGTGGCTTTGAACTGCCGACCTTGGGGTTAGCAGTCCAGGGCTTATCCTACAGCACCACACCGGAACTCCTTGATATGCTTATCTGTGGTTTAAAAAAAAAAAAAAAATTAAAACCCTCAAGGGAGAATTTGGTATGTGAAGTGGACCAATGTGATTTTACCACAAAACCAAAGCACCAAACCCACTTTCATGAGTGGGTTCTGGCTCAGAGCGACGCTACAGGACAGAGAACTGCTCCCTAGGCTTTCGGAGGCTGCACATCTTTACGGGAGCAGATGGCCTCATCTGTCTCCTTGTTTTTCCACTGAAGTCCATTTTATCTTTGGGACACCTAAAGGGAATGGCCTGGGAGGGGAAGCACCCTCCCCCCCACTTTTCATGCCCCAGCTCGGAGCTTTCTGTCCACATGGCATGCTTCTGTCTCAGCTCCTTCTTGTCTCTAGCTGGCCTGCCTGTCTTCTGATGGCCAATTCCTAGAAAAGATTCAGCTCTGGAGTCCCGCTTCCAAGAAGCCCTCCGTGACCTCCAAGCTGGGCCAGCGCTGTTCCTAAGCTCAGGATATACCACCTGGAGTCCTGGTGTGGCGCTGTAGGCTAATGCATCAGACCGCAAAGTTGTTTGAACTGCAAGGTCGGCAGTTCAAGCTCACCAGCCGCTCCTTAGAAACCCTATACAGGGTCACTATGGATCGGAATCGACTTGATGGCCCTAAACAACAACAGTAACCAGCTATCCTGGTATGGCGTTGTAGGTTAATGCGCTGGACTGCAAAGTCAGTTTGAACTGCAAGGTTGGTGCTTCAAGCTCACCAGCCGCTCCTTGGAAACCCTATACAGGGTCACTATAGGTCAGACTGACTCTATGGCACTTAACAACAATGAGCTATCCCCAGGGCCACTTCCCTGCCACTCTGAGAGCCCACCAGGGCAGGGCCGGCTCAGTGGCTCCAAGCCCAGCATGGCATTGACACTCACATCCTGGGTCTGGGGCTGAGTGGGTGAGGGCAGCCACACACCAAGGGTGTGATGGTCATGGGGTGGGGATCCGAGCCTTGGTGGACTTGGGTAGTCCTAAGAACCCTCCCCAGTGATGGCTTACTCCCTACAGTGTCCCAGGGGCACACATACAGCCGCTCGAACCACAGAATGCACTACGCCTGCAGCCCTAACGAGGACTGGCCCCCACCCTTGGAGCTCAGCTCAGACGGGGATGTGGATGCCACGGTGCTCCGAGACCTGTATCCAGATTCTCCTCCTGGGTAAGGCAGTCATGATGGGGAGGGAACCTGAGGGCAAAGACCCACCATGGGAAACAGAACGCCTTCCCCAAATGGTATAAGGCAAAGCATCTTGGATGTAGCCACCTCCTCACCCCTCCCAACTCAGCAGGACCCAGTTTTCACAGCCCGGTCTCGAGAGTTCTCTCCGGGGAGGCCTTGGAGTCCTCTCCTCCCAGTTAGGACTTCAGGGCTTCTTATCAAGTCCCCACCAGCAGCCCCAGCAGCCCCTGGACAGACAGCCACCCCCCCTCATCATCCTTTGTCCTCTTCCCCGCCCCAGGGCCCTGGGACAGTGCGTGCCTCCCTGCCATGTGTCTGTGAGTTCAGGGACCAGAGGACTTTTTCCTAAGCCTACAAAGGCAGATTTGTGGGACTTGAGCCTGAAGCAGTACCCACTCGCACACTTGTAGACCCCAGCCCAGTGCTGGCCTAGGAATCTGAGACCCAGAGGCGCTAAGACTCACTTAAGTGCCCACAGGCCACTGGAAGCAGAGCCAGGGAAGAACCAGGTCTCTGTGATGAGACCCTTTCTGGGGACCAGGACAGCTCCTCAATGCAGATAGAGTCAACCCTTCAGGAGAGAGACCTCTCAACATCCCTTTAAAGGCCCAGGCCACACAGGGCCCTGAGGGATCCTCTTCTCTTGCAGCTATGAGGAATGTGTGGGGCCAGGGGCCACTCAGCTGTACGTCCCTACGGATGCACCACCGCCCTACTCGCTGACCAACTCCTGCCCCGCACTGGATGGCCTCGTGGACACAGGCAGTGGACACAGCCCCGGCCAACAGCAGCAAGCACAGCAGATTCAGAACCACAGTGGCCTCTTCACCATCTCCATGGACACCCTGCCACCTTACGAGGCTGTGTGTGGAGCTGGCCCCCCGTTGGGCCTGCTACCACTGCCAGGACCTGGGCCAGGGCCCAAGGGCTCTCAGGGCTCATCCATTCCAAGCGGGGCCTCAGCCTCAGGCCCAGAGAGGACTGTGTGAGTAACTCTAGCAGCCAGGCACACACAAACACACACACACCAACATACACATATTCAGACATAGCCAAACACACCTCACACCTGTGTAGATGCATACACACCCACACAAACTCTCCTGTGAAGGTTTTGTTTAAAAAATGACACTCCCAAGCATCATCTCTTCCGCCCCAGTCCCTCTAAGCAATGCTTCAGTGTGGAAAACATGAGGACAACGTGGGATTTTCTCCCCAGTCCTCCTGGCAGCCTGGGCCCTCTCCCTGGGCCTTTGTGCTCCCATCTTCATCCAGCAGGCCATACCTAATACCTGCCTCTGCCTCCAGAAACTACTCGACCACCCCCATCACCATTCTGCCACTTACAGGTGGGGCATGGGTCTGGGGGCTCAGGCACAACTGAGAAGCCCACACAGCCCATCTGGCCTCCTCCCTAATCCATACTTTCAGTCTGGTGGTGCTGGTGACATTATTGCCAAAGCCCCAGCCCAAGCCACAAGAGATGCATGGGTTTCTTGGGGTCTGTGGTGGGTTATCGCTGGTCCCAAACCACTCGCAGTGCCCAGAACTGAGGTTCTGGAGAAAGGAGGAGGCCACTGCCCATTTGCCTCCCAGTGCCCTGGCTGTGGCTCTGCCCAGGAGTAACTCTCAGGCAGAGAAAGGGCACCTCACTCAGTTCAAGTATGTGCCCGGCCACCATTATGGCCTGACCTTAAATGGGCTGGAGTCAACCCTGGTAGCTAATGCTGTCCCCCTGGCTGGCTCATAGCTGGAAACTGGGAGTCGCCATGTGTTGGTCTTGCCCCTTCTGAGTGTTTGCAAAGACAAAAGGGGAGGTGAGCCCTCTAGATATTGCCATGGGAGGACCAGAGGTGTGTCAGGACCCTGCCCCTGGAGGGCATATATGGGATCTGCCAGGTGGCAGAGAGGCTAAAATCTTGGCCCATGAATTCCAGCAATTTCCATTAGAGACCACGTAGGTACAGAAGAGCCCCCTGTAGAAGGTGACAGCCAAACATCTTTGAGGACGGGTCTTGTCAGTGTTGCCAGTGAGTCCTGCCCACCTTTCCTCTCTCACCTGTTGTCCCCATCCCTCCTGTCCTCCCATTTCAATTCCTCCAATGAAGGGCTAAGATGATTAGCAGTCCCTTTCCTCAGCAAGGAGCACTGGTGGGATGAGCAGGTTTGTGTTCTGCTGCTAACCTAAAGGTTGACGGTTCGAACCCACACAGCAGTTCTATGGAAACAAAGTCTAGCAGTCTGCTTTGTGGAGATTTCAGCCAAGAACACCCCAGGGAGCAGTCCTACTCTGTAACGCATGGGGTCGCCATGAGTTTGAAACTGACTTGGCGGCAGTGGGTTTGGTGAGGATTTTGTTTTTTTTCAAGCAGTGGCTTATTTTCCGTAGACCTAGAGTTTCTTCTGGTGCAGAACTGCATGGGGTCCATCTAAAGGTTCTGTAGCACCTAGAGCACCCACATCCACCATCCGCAGACACCACCTGCAGGGAGGGCCCTCGTTTACACTCAGTTCTGCCCACCTTTGTGGTGTACTGTTTTCTAGGCAAAAAAAAACCCCCACAAATCTCAATCTCTGTTGTACTGTAGAGCCTCTAACACGCACACACTCCAGCGATGAGATGCTTATAAGGAACACGTCTTGCTTCTGCAATTCCAGACAGTGCTGGGGGGAACACAAATAAATAAAAACCCACTCATCAGTGTTTCAGGGTTGGAGCTGAGCGGCTTATCTTGTTCCTGTACTAGGCGCGGAATAAGCAATCATAAATTCCTTTATGTGTTCAAAGCAAATACTCTATAGTAGATCAATAAAAATGCAGCAGAAAGTAACATGATCAAGAGTGTTTAGAGAGTCCTGCCATCTGAAACTTGTGAGACACCAAACAGCTGTCAACAAAAAATATGCTTCCATCTAGAGCCCATGGATGGCACAAATGGTTGGCACTGCTCAGCTGCTAACCAAAAGGTTGGTGGTTCGAGTCCAACCAGATATCTCGGAAGAAGGCCTGGAAATGTACTTTCAAAAAATCATCCATTGAAAACCTTAGAAAGCACAGTCCACTCTGACACACATTGGGTCACTATGGGTTAGAATTAACTAGACGGCAACTGGTTTAGCAATCCTTCCCTATTAATTATGCCAAGATTAGATGCCATCTGTCGTATTCCACTTGACCTGGGTATTTGGGCAATCACTGACTTCCAGAAGCTGCTTCACTGTTTGTAACCTCACTGAAACATGACATTTCTCTGGGCCTCACTGACTTGGCCAGTGTCAGTGTCACTGAGACGAACCATAAACTCCCGGACCGGACAGCAGGGACATCAGGGACTGACCACTTACTTTCAGAGCAGCAGCTGGCTTTCAGCACTGCACCGGGAAAGGGTCTAACAAGAGAAAGTTTGCAGTTAGACCAGAGTTGTTTTTCTCTTCGAGTGTGTAAATTCTCTTTCCTATGTCCTCCATAAACTGCTGGCTTGGGTCACTGGTCTCTTGGCAGACATGTCACCCTCCTTCCTTCTGGAGCTCCAGTCCAGTCACCTTGTAACACACACACCCTCACTGCCCTGAAAGTGGGGTGTGGTTCTGAAGGAGGATGCAGGAGGCAGAGGGCCGAAATTGGGAAACGGTATTTCCTTCTCCATCCACCAGCTGCAGAGCGCCACCAAGTGGAGGGTGGGGCGAAGGCCAGCTGTCCTGACCCACCAAGTCCTCACTGCCATCTGCTAGCTTCCTACAATCATTGCTCTGAGCAAACTGAAGAGGAACAGCTCCTGCTCTCCCGAAGTTCTCTGGGCACCGCCTATGTGCACCTCTGTATACAAAATCATCACTCCTGCTCTCCCATTAATAAAAACTCACTGCCATCCAGTTGATCCTAACTCATATAACGACCCTGGAGGGTAGAATAGAACTGTGCCCTAGGGTTTTGTAAGGCTTTTGAACCGCAAGGTCAGTGGTTCAAACTCACCAGGCATTCCTCAGAAAGTATACAGGGTCACTATGGGTCGAAACTGACTTGATGGCACTTAACAACGCTCATGAGAGCAGACAGCACGTCTTTTTATTTCTGAGCAGCTGATGGGTTGGCACTGCTGACCTTGTGGTTAGCAGCCCACCATTTAGCCCACTGGGTGGCACAAATGGTTTGTGCCCAACTGCCAACTTGAAGGTTGGTGGATCAAACCCACCCAGTGGTGCCAGGAAGGGAAGGGCTGGCAACATGCTTCCATAAGCTGACAATCAAAACCTATAGACCAGTTGTATGCTATGGCACAGAGCCCAGGTGTGGCGCTGTGGATTAATGCACCAGACTGCAAAACCATTTGAACTGCAAAGTTGGCAGTTCAAGCTCACCAGCTGCTCCTCGGAAACCCTATACAGGGTCACTATGGGTCAGAATTGACAGCACTTAACAACTCTGTGATACATGGGGTCACCATGAACCAGACAGGAGTGACTGTGATTGAATGAATGAGTGAATCATCAATGAATTAACCCGAGACTCCTGGTAATTCTATATGACAAAGAGGAACTGTCCCCATACGAGTACCAAGGCTGTACTCTTTCTGGAAGCAGACTGTCACATCTTTCTCTGGAAGATGGGTTTCAACAGTTCACAAGATCGGTAGTTCAAACTTACCAGCTGCTCCTCAGAAACCCTGTACAGGGTCACTGAGTCAGAAGTCAATAGCACTTAACAACAATGGAAAGGAGGGAGATGGGACAGGATAAGTGGATGTTTCAGTCTGGGTTCCCCCAAAGGTATCCCCAGACACAAGATATGGGTATAGTGTATTTGGAAGGGCATCACAGGCCGCATGTGGTAGAGGTGAATTAGGACAAGGAAGAGAACTGTAATGAGTAGGTTCTTGCTGCGGGCAACTGATGGCCAGTCTCCTCTGAAAGACTGCAGAACACACCTCAGGACTGTCCCACCCATAGCAGGAAGCTGGGGTTTCTGAGGGTTGGTTTCTGGGTGGGCTGGTCCTTGGGGCTCTCTTGTGCTCAGAACACTCCAGCACGTAGTGCCTCATCTGAGGGGCAGGCACGGATGTGTAAAGAGGGTCCTGGCTCCCACGAGTCTGAGACACTCCACTGGGCATGCCCGGAGCCAGAGTGCAGCCCAGGAGTCCTCAGCCCTCAGGGCGGCAGGCAGAGGCCAGGCAGTTTCACTTTTGCTAGTGCACTTCCTCCTCACCTTCCTGGCTGAGTGCTGAGGCAGGGACAGCCGCCCATCCCTCTAAGTGCCTGGCCTGGGGAGGTCCCCTGGCGCCACCATGATCAGGTCCTGGACCCCAGACCCAAGCAAGGCTACTGCAGGGACCTTCCTGAGGGATCTCATCAGTTACTACAAGGAAGGAGCAGGAGAAGGCCAGCTCAGGGTCTGCAGACAGGCAGACCTTACCCACAGGGCCCAGCAGTTCCTGGACATGGAGGCCCCTCTGGGCTTCTGGCTGTCTGACGATATGGCCCCTGCTCTCGGGGACTGCTCCCAGGGGGACCTCAGTCCTGCCCAGGATGTGTGCCCTGAGCTGGTGTGGGCATTAGAGTTCCTGGAGCTGATCTCTGTCCACCTGTTACTGTTTCCTTGGAGGAAGGAAATCAGGTCCCTGAAGGTAGGTGCTGCCTGCTCCTGAGCAGGGGATGGGGGGGGGAGGGGAGGGTCAATGGAGTTTTGCTTCTGTGGGGAGCAGCATGTCCACCATGCCAACGGACTTTGGTTCCATTTTACAGCTGGAAAAATTGAGGGCTAGAGAGGGTCATGCGCTCTGTCTGTGGTCCATAGTAAGCCAGGACTCCTACCCAGACAGCACCACTTCTAAACACTAGGCTGTGCTGCTTATCTAAAGAGAGAAAGGGCCACGGGGCTCTGGAAGTTGTGCCAAGCGTGTGGGTTTTGACAGCCAGGTTCTCAAGCTACTACTGTGTGCTGGAGATCTCAGTGTGACCAAGGCAGACATGGGCCCTGCTTACATGAGACTCA